CTGCCCAAAGTAATTTACAGATTCAATGCTATCCCCATCAAGCTACCAATGACCTTCTTCGCAGAACTGGAAAAAACCACCTTAAACTTCATATGGAACCAAAAGAGAGCCCGCATAGCCAAGTCAATTCTAAGCAAAAAGAACAAAGCGGGGGGCATCACACTACCAGACTTCAAACTATACTACAAGGCTACAGTAATCAAAACAGCATGGTACTGGTACCAAAACAGAGATATAGACCAATGGAACAGAACAGAGGTCTCGGAGGCAACACAACATATCTACAACCATCTGATCTTTGACAAACCAGACAAAAACAAGCAATGGGGAAAGGATTCCCTGTTCAATAAATGGTGTGGGGAAAGCTGGCTAGCCATGTGCAGAAAGCAGAAACTGGACCCCTTCCTGACACCTTACACTAAAATTAACTCCAGATGGATTAAAGACTTAAACATAAGACCTAACACCATAAAAACCCTAGAAGAAAATCTAGGCAAAACCATTCAGGACATAGGTGTAGGCAAGGACTTCATGACCAAAACACCAAAAGCATTGACAACAAAAGCCAGAATAGACAAATGGGACCTAATCAAACTCCACAGCTTCTGCACAGCAAAAGAAACAATCATTAGAGTGAATCAGCAACCAACAGATTGGGAAAAAATTTTTGCAGTTTACCCATCTGACAAAGGGCTGATATCCAAAATTTACAAAGAACTAAAACAGATTTACAAGAAAAAAACTAACAGGCCCATTCAAAAGTGGGCAAAGGATATGAACAGATACTTTAGAAAAGAAGACATACGTGAGGCCAACAAACATATGAAAAAATGCTCATCATCACTGATCATCAGAGAAATGCCAATCAAAACTACATTGAGATACCATCTCACGCCAGTTAGAATGGCGATCATTAAAAAATGTGGAGACAACAGATGCTGGAGAGGATGTGGAGAAATAGGAACACTTTTACACTGTTGGTGGGAGTGTAAATTAGTGCAACCATTGTGGAAGACAGTGTGGCGATTCCTCAAGGACATAGAAATAGAAATTCCATTTGACCCAGCAATCCCATTACTGGGTATATATCCAAAGGATTACAAATCGTTCTACTATAAGGACACATGCACACGAATGTTCATTGCAGCACTGTTTACAATAGCAAAGACCTGGAACCAACCCAAATGCCCATCGACGATAGACTGGATAGGGAAAATGTGGCACATATACACCATGGAATATTATGCAGCCATCAAAAACGATGAGTTAGGGTCCTTTGTAGGGACATGGATGAACCTGGAAACCATCATTCTCAGCAAACTGACAGAAGAGCAGAAGATCAAACACCGCATGTTCTCACTCATAGGCGGGTGTTGAACAATGAGAACACATGGACACAGGGAGGGGAGCACTACACACTGGGGTCAGTTGGGGGGAAATAGGGGAAGGAGGGTGGGGGGTGGGAAGCTGGGGAGAGATAGCAAGGGGAGAAATGTCAGATGTAGGTGATGGGGAAGAAGGCAGCAAATCACACTGCCATGTGTGTTCCTATGCAACAATTTTGCATGTTCTTCACATGTACCCCAAAACCTAAAATGCAATAAAATAAATAAATGGGAAAAAATAAAATAAAATAAAATAAAAACAACCTATTAATATTTTAAAAGTGAATTTAAGGAACTAATACTATATACACATTAGTCATTAAAACAAAGTAGTTCATTTACATTCACACAAATAAATCTTGTGATTATACATAGGTGATATGAAAAGCTTTGTTTCATAATACAAGGTAGTACCAATAGATATAATAATGTTAGCATTCCTTTGGAAAAATTGAAAGGATTTATAATTTTCTAAGAATCACTAGTATTTTTATTTAATATATATATTAAAATATAAAATTATTCATTCTATAACTCAGAAATATGCTTGCTTATTTACTGACAGATTTCAAAATATTTCTACACTCACAATATTCATTTACATAAATATTGATTTAGTGCTTACAATGTCTACTGCTATGCTAAGTTTTATCTTTGTCAAACATATTTTACAAAATCAGAATCCTAGATAAATACAACTTTTGGTCACCCTGCTGAACCCCTGCTGTTAACAGGCAAAGTGTGGTAGGTACAGATCTGTACCCACCACCTTCCTCTACCCACCAGCACCTGCACCCACCACCCCACCCCACCCACCATTATCTATAGCAACCACCCCTCTCAACCTACAAGCATCTACACCCACCACACCTCCCCCCCACCACCACGTACAGTCACTATACCTTCCAGCCACCACCATCTGCACCCATCAATCCTCCCCATCCACCAGCATCTGCACCCACCACATTTCCCCACCTACCAGCATCTTCCCTCACCACCTCTCCACCCAGGGGCATCTGCACCTACCACCCCTCCCCACTCCCCAGTGTCTGCACCCATCACACCTGCCTACTAACCAGCATCTGCACCATCAAGCTCTACCTTTCTGTCTAATATAGGATGAGCTCTCTATGCTTCTGCCTAAAGATAAGATAATACCTCCACTCCTCTTCTATCTGTTCTATAACCTATCTCCTTTTACCTCTTTACGAACACTCCAGAAATTCTCCTTTCTCCTTTTTTTTTTTTTTTTTTTTTTTTTTCTCCCAGACAGAGTCGCCAGGTTGGAGTTCAGTGGAGCAATCTCGGCTCACTGCAACCTCTGCTTCCTGGGTTCAAGCGATTCTCCTGCCTCAGTCTGCTGAGTAGCTGGTACTACAGGCACTCACCACCATGCCCAGCTAATTTTTGTATTTTTAGTAGAGATGAGATTTCACCATGTTGGCCAGGATGGATTCAATCTCTTGATCTCATGACCCGCCCACCTTGGCCTCCCAAAGTGCTGAGATTACAGGCATGAGCCAACATGCCCGGTCCTCCTCTCTACTTCTAATACCACCTTCTTTTACTTCACTCAATCATTCCCATCACCATACAAATGCGTTTATTTCTCTCACCCTAAAGTGAAAAATCAAAAAAAATTATCTGCGGCCAGGTGGGGGTGGCTCATGCCTGTAATCCCAGCACTTTGGGAGGCCAAGGGAAGTGGAAGACTTAAGGTCAGGAGTTTGAGACCAGCCTGGACAACATGGTGAAACCCCATCTCTACTAAAAATACAAAAATTAGCCAGGCATGGTGGCACCTGCCTGTAGTCCCAGCTACTTGGGAAGCTGAGGCTGAAGAATGGCTTAAACCCAGGAGGCAGAGGTTGCAGTGAGCTGAGATTGCACTATTGCACTCCAGGCTGGGCGACAGAGTGAGAAACTCTGTCTCAAAAAATAAAAAAATAAAAATAAAAGAAAATTATCTTTACCCAACATACACATCACCCAAACACCCATTTCTTTGTTAATCTTTGTAAAGACAAAAAGCTCTTGGAAAAAGTTGTCTATATTTCACTATGACTTATCTCTTCCAAATCACTTTGATGCACATTAACTAGGTTTTTGTTTCCATCATTCCAAAGTAACTTATATAGCCAAGGACAGTAGTGACCTTTACATCACATATGCATTGTACAATTCTTGATCCTCATCTTACTTGTCAGCAGTATCTAACACAGGTGTCACTCTTTCCTCTCTGAGATGCTCTCTTGGCTTCTGGGACACCATATTCCCCCTTTTCCTACCTTCCTCAATAGCCCTCCTCCGTCTTCTTTGGAAAGAGGAAAAAGAAACTTCATTATCTCCTTGATGTAGTACAAATACCTCAAGCTCAACACATGCATACTGAACTCCATTTCCTTTCCCCAAACTTCTACATCTACAGCCATCCCCTTTCAGCTGATAGCAAGTTTATCCTTCCAGCAACTCAAATCAGAGTCTTTAGAGCCATCCTTGGCTCTTTTCCTCCTCTCACACTCAAGATTTATCCATCAGAAAATGTTGTAGGTTCTACTTCCAAAACACATCAACAATCATCAAGAGGTCTCATTACCTCCATTCCTACCACACTAATCTGAACAAATGTTTTTTCTCACCTGCGTTATTGATAGCATCCCAACAGGTCTTCCTGTTTCTTTGTTCCCCTACATTAGCAACATAGCAGTCAGAGGAATCCTTTTAGACCTAAATCAGATCATGTCACTCCTCTACTTAAAATCCTTCAGTGGGTCCCATTACACATAGAGTACAAACCAGAGTCCTTACATTGGCCTACAAGGTCCTATATTATTTAACTCCTGTTATCTCTCTGACATCATATAATAATATTACTGCTGTTGTCCTTTTGCTCCAGTCACATTGTTTGATTAATAAATATTTATTAAACAAAGCAATCCTAGTCTCCAAGGAAATAAAGTTTGTTGGAAGAAACAAGAGCATATAAATAGTTATACACCAAAGGCAGTGATTATAGTTCTCCCTCATCTCCCATCCTAAACTTTGACAGGTGAAATTCCCCTGGATGTTGAAGGTTGGGGAATTTGCCAGGGTTCAGGGTAGTGTTGGAGGAGGCAGTGAGGAGGCAAGGACATTTCAGAAAGAAAGAACATTACGTGCAAAGATCTAAAGAAATGAATCAGCAACATATTTATGGAATTACCAGTAAAGTAGAAAGTTCTTGCTAAAACATCAAAAACGAAAGAATTGAGATTAGAGGACCAGAATGTGGGAGGGAAAGAGAGATGCAGTTCACACTTTAGACAGGAGCCAGATCATGAAATGCTTTCTTTTTGTTTGTTTCTTCCTTTATAGGTTTTGATAGACTCTTGAAACAATTTATTAAACGCATTTTTTTAATGCATCTCCTCAACAGGGTCAAAGCAATACTTGGAAAGGACTCTGAATTTCCTGAATTAAAGATACAAAAGAAAAATCTGGAGTCACATTTAATTTGACAAGGTAAAGGAGTGGGTGTTCTACTGTATCAAATTTAATTTGTACAAAATCATCATCTCTGGTAACATTATTATTTCTAATCTACTGCGTTTAGACTACTTTAGCAAAGCTTGATCTCCCTGTCTATCTAAACAGTGATTCACTTACAGCAAGCTTCAGGCTAGCATTGACCATATTAATACCCAGAAAATCCACAAGGTGTTAGTTTCACATAGTTTTGTATAAAAGGTGAACTGAGATTTCACTCAGACTACAGCTCTTCCCAGGCAAGGCAGTTGACCACAGGTGAGTCTTCGCATCTACAGTATGCAAGTGGTAACAGCTACTTTTGAAATTACAGATTTCTCAGGACCTGGAGGACAAAACTAGAGCTTTTCACTACTGTTGTATAGGAAATTTATGTTTGTTAACCTATCTTGTAAAATTTTACAACAATTGTAAAATATGGTTAATATACTGTAATCTGTTAGCAAGCAGCTGACTTTATAGACCAATATGCCTCACTTCTGAAATAGTCTTATTTTAAACAAATGTGGGCAAAAGCAAATATTTATGAGATTCTTAAAATGAAGACATAATTTTGTGGTATAGAATTTTCCTGGCCAGGCGTGGTGGCTGATGCCTATAATCCCAATACTTTGGAAGGCCAATGTCGAGGGACTGCCTGAGTCTGGGAGGTTGAGGCTGCAGTGAGTCATGATCATACCCCTGCACTCCAGCCTGGGCAACAGAGCAAGACCCTGTCTCAAGAAAAGAAAAGAATTCTATTTTTCTTTTCAGACAAAAATAGTCTTTAAAATAATGGTGGAAGAGATAAGATGATCACAATTACTTACTTCAGAGTAATCACTTTATGACAGTAATAAGATTCTAATCTTTAAATACTCCTCTGCTTAAATATTATATTAGAGTTTTGATCTATAATCTATTCCCACCCTGAACCAAAAAAAAAATGAAGGACAAGGAAAAATGTTGTTCCAAGAAACAAAGATGTAAGTAGAAGGGCATAAGGAAGGAAAAAAACCTTGTTGAAGCAAAATGTGATTGAGGAGGATGAGCAGACCAATGATTTCTGGTTTGGTCAGCTTACATAATGATTATCACTCTTTGTTTTCTCAGTTTCTAATGGGCTTAATTGTTTGCTTCCCAGATCAGGATGAAGACAGTCCAGCTTTGCTTCCTTTTCTGCTGCTGGAAAGCAATGTGCTGCAATAGCTGTGAGCTGACCAACATCACCATTGCAATAGAGAACGAACAATGTCGTTTCTGCATAAGCATCAACACCACTTGGTGTGCTGGCTACTGTTACACCAGGGTAGGTATTGTGCTTTGCTGAAAGTAAGGATGCTGAAGCTCTGTATGAGGCAGGTTTCATTAGTTTCTACTTTATCAATATTTTATGTATTCTAAGCAACAGTCATGAGTCCTTTAGGCAATATTGGCTGTGTTGTGATTGGGGTTAATGACCATGATATCAGTTAGATGTTTGGGCTTGGATTTGATTTGGGTAAATTTAGAAAAGCCTCAGATTTAATCTGATCGATTTGGTAACAGCACAACTTTGCATTTATAGGAAAAAAAGTATTTCTATGTTATGTTTTTACATATAGAGGGATAAACATTGAAACATACATATATTTAATCATAAACGACCTACAATGTTCTCAAAAAGGCAATTTCTTTAACTGATGCTACATCTTTGACACAAAAATAGTACCAAAATATGTTTCCAAGTAACATAAAAACACAGACAGTCACATTATAAAAACTGTCTTCCTGGCCCTCCTAAATACAAATGCCAACGAACAGCCTGAGAACACAATCAATTTCTTGCAGACTGTTAGAACAAAAATGAATCAGCAAACCCACTCCCTTCGTTATAGCATTGAGAAAATTAAGACATAGAGGCATCAGTTGCTAGTCTGCGTTTGCACAGTTTCCTTGCACTAATTCAAGTAAAGAAATAGTTTCCATGGTGCTTTCTTTTTTCCCTGCAGCACCTAGCTATCTATGCAGAAGAATTTCATTCTTTAACTAAAATTGAAAATGGCAACTTTTTAAATCAAAGATACTTTATTTGATGGTAAATAAGTTTGATCAAACTCCATTTATTACACAATTTGTTGCACCTTCTTGGGATATACACTTGATAGAATGATATTAAAATAAAACAGCAGCCCAAATTTATTTCCGCAGTGCAAATAATTTTTCCACTGGTAACTGCTACAACAAATAATTTCTAGCTGGATTAAAAGTTCTTATATGCAAACTGCATATGCTTTAAAACTAAGAACCCTCCAAAGTATATGGTTTTTAACTGAGAAAAATGTCTACAAATAATTGGAATATTTAAAATCTTATGTGAGGGTTAGCAAACATGTTAAACTAAGCATTAACATTTAAAATCATATATTTATGACCTTTTATAAATACATCATACAGTGTGTTTTAAAATATTTTTCCTGTGACATTGGACATCTTTGTGTATGGTTTAAGTTGTCATTTATATAGCTTTCAATTAAATATGAAAATTCAACTTAAAAGTCTGTCATGTTTTTTCATCATTTTTCTATGTTAAAATTCAAAGTTAGTTTATATTTTGAAAAATAACTAATATTTTGGTATAGTCATAGGAAGAAAAGGAATTACTTATATTTTATGTAAGATTTCAAGAACAATTTGGAAATGTAGTAAAGCATATAGGTAATTTATGATGTCATGGTTTAATGGGTAAAGGTTAGAGAAAGGAGCATTCAATTTCTGTCTCATTTTGACCGAGCTAAATAGGAACTTCCACAGTACCATAACATAACTCTCTTCTTAAACTCCTCAGGATTTGGTGTTTAAGGACCCAGCCATACCCAACATCCAGACAACATGTACCTTCAAGGAACTGGTGTACAAGACAGTGAGAGTGCCCGGCTGTGCTTACCATGCAGACTCCTTGTATACGTACCCAGTGGCCACCCAGTGTCACTGTGGCAAGTGTGACAGTGACAGTACTGACTGCACAATGCAAGGCCTGGGACCCGACTACTGCTCCTTCAGTGAAATGAAAGAATAAAGGACAGATGATATTTTCGGCCACCTACCCTTGTCCTGCAGGACCCAGATATTCAAAAAGTCTGTGTGTGTGCAATGTGCCCAGGGTACAAACCGGACCAGGGGATTGTCAGACTCTAGGGATCCCTGGTCTACAGGCAGAGGGAACTCCGGGATCTGAGAGTGCTGGGGCCAGGACTCTATCACCATTCAGCTCTGTATTCCTAGGTCTGGTTTCATAAGGTTTATTCAGCCGTAACTCACAGACTTGTGCATGCTTTCTTCCTGAAAAATCTTAGAAGTCTTCTGAGACAATGCCTTTCTCTTAGAAAGGGGTAAACATAAGCCTAGAAGGAGGAAGCCATCATGGGAGTAGGTGAAAGAACTAACTGTAGCAGTCTTCTGGTAGACTCTTGGGCCCTCTAGAGCAAGTCAGCATCTTCTTGAGCATTGTAGCCTCAATGCCTAGCACTCTGCCTGGAACTTAGTGAGAAACACCATAATGGCTTCTTTAGATCAGAAAGGTCAAACGTAGGAAAATGCTGGAAGAAGATGTTTGAGGTAAGCTGATGAGGCTGCCCCCAGCCACACCAGTCCCGTGAAAGTAGTGGCATGAGTTCTACCCAGGCTTCCCTCCGACACATGGAGTATTGAGCATGATGTATGTCTCTGAATTGTTCGGTACAGATGGGGAGTAACACAGCTCAGGATTTCCCAGCTGTCACTACCAAGCCTATTAGTTAAGGCAAGAAATTTTAATCTGGGGCTGTGGAAATCAGCCTGCCTCTATTCATTACTTAAACAAATTGATCACATGTTACTAGGCTCCTGCAAAACTCCTTTTTGAGATAAAGGCAAAAAAACAAACAACAATCTCATTCTTCCCTCCCTAGGATCCAATTCTTTGGAATGACAAAGGATTTGAAAGTAGGTTTGAATAAATGTATTTAACTTGTCTACAAATATATTTGTATAAAGAAATAGCTCCTTTAGAAAGAATTAGCCATGGGGATAGGGGAAACTGCTGTTTTCTAGGATCCTATCTATATCAGTCTTCTCTTTCATCTATCCATGTTCTCCCAAATCTGTGATTTCTTTCCAAAGGTTATGTATTAACTATTTCATGAGTTGATTTCTTTTAAAGATGTTAACCATCTTAGTTATGTACTTAGTTTCACACTCATATTAACTAGTTTATTTAAATCTTATTTTTTTAATAAAGATGCTGGCCACCAGAGTCATAGATTTAGATTATGTACAAACAGATGACTTAGACATTGTGTATTTTATAACATTAGCAGAATGAAATCTTAAAATATAATTCCCAGTGCTTCTACAAAAATTACCTTTCTTCATCTTTGGAGATACTAAAAATAATCTTGTTGGATTTCCAAAAGTGTTTTGTCACTTAAATTTCCTGTCATTTCTTGAAGTCATTTTTTGATGTAATGGGAGAGAAAAAAGGCATAGAAATAATCACAGAGTGGGTGGGGACACTAGAGCTTCTCTAGTTTACTTCTTGAATTTTTGAGATGAAAAAATTAGAGCCCAATAATATCAAGTGACCTACCCAAGATCAGTATCTTAGTCCTTTTGGGCTGCTATGACAGACTACATTAGACTGGGTAATTTACAAACAACAGAAATTTATTGCTCACAGTCTGTTGACTGGGAAGTCCAAGATCAAGGAGAAGCATATTTGTTGTCTAGTAAGGGAGGGCCTGCTCCCCATTTCAACGATGGTGCTTTCTTGCTGCATCCTCACATGCTAGAAACAGCAGAAAGTTCCCTCAAGCATCTTTTATAAGAGTACTAATCTCATACATAAGAACTTCATTTTTATGATTTAATCACCTCCTAAGGCCCCACTTCTTAATACCACCACAGTAAGGATCAGGGCTCAACACGAATCTTGGAGGAACATAAACATTCAGTCCAAAGAAATCACAAACACTGTTCGTGGCAGAGCCAGGATTAGAACCCTAGCCTCCTTGCTCAACCCAGCTCTCCTTTGACTACTCTATCATAATAAGAAGTATTTTGGTAAGGATTGAAGAAAAACTATAGATATTGTTATAATAATCAGCTCTGTCCATTCTAATCTGGTATTGGGTGTAGCTTATAGCAACATTAGGGCTATAATAATAATGTTTAATAATGCTTAATATCATTAACAATGTTTAATATAATAATAATGTTTAATAACAATATATAATAACAATGTTTAATTATAGCCTTTTCCTTCTTCCTGTAGTTTTGCAGATCAAAATAATAAACCTTCACATTAGAGACGGTAGAGGGCAATGGCTTTAGATTCATGTTGTCTCAGTCATCTTAACCAGATGTGTCATCGTGAACAAGTTACTTAAAATCTCTGGATCTCAGTTTCCTCAACTGTAAAATGGGGACAATAATATTTCTTGCTTCAGAGGGTTGTGTTCATGATTAATGGAATAACAGATATAAGGGGTTTAGAACAGTACTTGGCACATAGTAATTCCTCAATAAAGATTAGGTGATGGTTATCCCTTGAGAGAGAGAATGCAGTGAATTGGTAAAGTCAGATTTAAGTTAAGGACAACCCAGCATATACTCTTTCTGGTCTGAGCAAGCTAGTTAACCTCTCTGGATCTCACTTTTCTCACTTTTAAAATAGAGTAAAAATGGTAACTATCTCACATAGTTGCTGTGCAGATTAAAAAATATAATGCATGTAAAGCACTTAGGAGTCCAACAGTGCTATAATCCTCATGAAGAAAGGTCTCTTTACCATTTAGCTCAAAGGGCCACTAGCAAAAAGCAGAAGTTTCTTCTGATGGCACTCCCATGCCAAATGGGAGTACACTCCTTTCTGAAGCAGCAAGAATGAAAACCTGAGAACCCTCTAGGTCTAGGCCAAGAAAAGTTCCATATCCATGTGCTGCCATTTTAGTTGAAGTCCGATAATCCCTCTCCAGCACTATGGGGGATGTCTCCTGTCTCTGGGAAGTCCTCACATGACTTTAAGAATTGTATGTTTAAACCACAACTTTGACCATGCCAATAAATTAGATTTCCAGTTGTTTTCAGGAAAAAAAAAAAAAAAAATCTTAATTCTTAGCTGAAACATGAGGCCTATCATGGTCTGACCTCTGATTATTTAACTTCATACCTCTTCCCCTTGCCAAGGGTTGCTGAACCTAGTTTTGAGGATTGAAGGATTGGGAACCTTCCATTTCTGAAATGCCTTAACCAGAATACCATGCCATTCATCCCATGAGAGATTTGGCAGACTGTAATTGGAAACTGTCAGTAAGTCAGCAGCACTTGAATCACAAAAATATTGAAGCCAGTACATAAGAATAATAAACACAGAATTCATGGTAGTGAGGAAGATGAAGGAGAAAAGGAACTGTGGAAAAGTAACCAGAGAGCCTCAAACTGTCTTTATAATGCTTTATTTCTTACAAACATGGTAAGATGTTAATATATATAAAACTGGGAGAAGGCCGTACAGGTGTTTACTATATTCCTGTAAGCGTGTTCAGTGCTTACTAGTTGACAGCTAACAAGGTATCTCTTTATGCATTGTACATTTAATCTAGATTTTATGCCTAATGTAAGAAAAGTGAAATGGGCCCTGAGGCTAGTCTAAAGTCACACGGCTAGTGTGTGAAGCTTCAAGTCATTAATATGCATTTAGTGACAAAGTGGAGAATTCAAATCTACTTACCAAGATATGCGCCTATGTCTTCCTGACTACAAAGCTGAACAACATTTTCCACCTTCCTTGCAGTCAAGTTGTATCTATGTTCCAGCTGATAGAATGTGAGCAGAAGTACTGCACATATTTTCACATCTGGCCCATAAAATCCTCTCATAAGTGATCATCTATTCGTTTCCTCCATATGCTGGATGTCAATACTGAGGGTGACCTTGGAAGCTTTGTGTTGATGATCACAGAACCATTGTCAACCTGGATCCCCGAATGTCTCCATGGAGCAGTGTGTCCAGCATCAACAACCCCTTATAGCAGTTGTATGGACTCTGCATCAACACAGTAAACTTCTAAGTCACTGACATTTGTGGGTTTATTCGTTTTAAAAAATGCATTATTTTAATTTATGTATATTGGTACTGGAAGTGGAATGTTGCATTAATGAACAGCTTAGCACATATGGCGTCGGCTTAGTGGTTGTACAACAGGGGAAAGAAAAGTAATCTTCAGAGTGGCAACCAAAATAAGTGACTGAGAGACAAATCTCAGTCACCAAAGTTTATTGTGCCTGCTTGAGAATGAATTCAGGAAAACCTCAAGTAACAGACACATTTATGACTGTTTTTTCCAAAGAGGTTCTCAAGAGGATTAAAATTGATACATTTTTCTTTACAAAGATAAAGGGGTGGGCATGGGAATTAGATAAATGATTACATACTTGTGAGACTTTAGTTAGTACTCGGTAATTCTACACTTTATATAAAATAAGGTCAACAAAGAAAACAGAAATGGAGGAAGCAGACATCTCAGAGTAAAGTGAAGTAATAATTACTCTCATCTTCTCTTTGTTCTGTACCTGGGAAGATAAACTAGTAGATGTTATCAGTATGGAATATTTTGAAAAAGCTGGTGTCTAGTTAGCCCTTAGGGGAGAAAGCCTAATAGATAGGAAGAAATATCATGAGGCCTTTCTGACCTCCCATCCCATCATGCCATGAACTCAGCTTCTAAGTTTCCTATGGGGTCCCCTTGGCCAAGAGAAGAGTCTATTTAGTCTGTTAGAGGTTTAGAATTTTGTTATTTCTCAAGAATACACTTTTCGGCCAGAAGTGGTGGCTCATGCCTATAATCCCAGTGCTTTGGGAGGCCAAGGGGGGCAGATTACCTGAGGCCAGAGTTTCGAGACAAGCCTGGTCACTATGGCAAAACCCTGTCTCTACTAAAAATACAAAAAATTAGCCAGGTGTGGTGGTGCACACCTGTAATCCAGCTACTAGGAAGGCTGAGGGATGAAAATCGCTTGAACCCAGGAGGCAGAGGTTGCAGTAAGCCCAGATCACACAACTGCACTCCAGCCTGGGGGACAGAGTGAGACTCCATCTAAGAAAAAAAAAAAAAAAGGACAACTTTCACCTGGGAAAACATGAAGACTGGCCACATACCTTAGCTTAGCGTTATAGCAGGGTCAGCAAATTATGCCCTGAAGGCTAAATCTGGCCCATTACCTTTTTATTACTATTTTTTTTAACAAAATTTACTGGAATACAGCCATACTAATTTTTAAATATATTGTCTATGATTGCTTTTGTACTACAAAAGCAGAATTCAAAGACCATATGGCCCACAATGTAAATAAAATCTTTATAATTTGAAACTTTACAGAAAAATTTTACCAGCCCCTTCTCTAAGGGAAAGGTTTACAAAGGACCAGAATGTTAAGAGGATTGGCTTTCTCTTTGTAGATGTTAAAGAGATGGAGTTTTTGCAAAAAGGGAATGGAGAAAGTCCAGAAATTTTTACCTCAATTGTATGTAAAGGTCTATTGCTTCCTCATCCCACATAGTAAGAGATAAGATGGTTTTGAAAAAGAAAGGTTCATTGAAACTGGATTCTGAGGCAAAGACATATTTTAGGGTATGGTCTTCCCATCTAGGTCTTCTATCTCAGGTAGTTATCATGGTAGGATCACTAAGTTATAAGAAAGCAAAAACAACAACAAAAAAAAAAACAGGATTAAACATTATGAATAAGAAAAAACTTTGAACATGTTTATAGGCACTAAGAACTAAATGGAAATATATGAAAGAACTGATTGTCAAAGAAACTAGGAAACCAGACTAAAAATGACTTTGGGCCTCAAACTTGATGAGCAGAAAATAGACTACTAAACCTGTACAACACCTAGGAGGATGACTCTCCAACACCCACTTTGAGTGTGGTTATGGAAGATAATGGATAAGGAAAAACTTTCCAGACGATAGAGCCAGGAGCCATGGAGAACAATGGACAAGGGAAGAATGTTCCCCCTAGGGAGAAGAATCAGCATCTAATCAGGGAACTTTCTTCACTGGCTTGGAAAAAGATTTCATAAAGTTTGATCAGTAGGGTTTCATCATTGCTTAATCCAGTGAGCTGTATCTCTCATTCTTTCTTCTTATGAATAGAAGTGTTGGTTGTTGTGAACAGAGTTATTGTGGGAAGTGTCCCTACTTCATCCCTGAATACTGGGTCGAGATGGACAAGAAAGATAACGTGTCTTTTTGTCCACAGGTTGAGTTGCCAGCTCATGTGAAGCCACATTTGGACATTATAGAGAAGACTGTATTAAGGGTATTCATTTGGACATGATACAAAAAACAGTATGAAGGGTATTAAGGGCCTGGAATTGGACTAAGGAAGGGGAGGAGGTGGTTCTAGGTGAGAGAGAAAGATGAAACTGATATTTGTTCTCAGACAGTTTGATAGTGACAGAGATTGTTATGTGTTCACAGGAAGCTTCTCTATTTTTCTTGGGGTCAGGGTTTGCAGCCCCACTTGTAGAAAGGTATATTTATGTCATCGAGTTCTACCAATAACCAAGGTTATCAGAATGATGTGTGCTACTTCTAGGTCTGGCTCATAAACCCTCCAACAGGTGAATCATACTCTCTTCTCATCTCAGGTGACTGAGTATTGATGATTAAAGGAACCTTGAAAGCCATGCACAGAGAGTAGCAGAGGCTCCATCAGCCTAAATCTCAGAATGACCAGAGAACTCACCCATGCCCAAATACCTGTTCTCTCTGAAAGGACTTTATATAAACAAGAAACGAATTTATCTTAAGTCACACAGACTTGGGGGTTTATCTGTTACAGCAGGTAATATTACCTTAACTAATATAGGGATCCATAATATTCAATGAGCTTAAATATAATGTTTCAAATCAACTTACATGAACCAAGTATAAAATTAGTTATGTAATAATGTTCACATATATACCCCAGATCACAAGCTTCTGTTCAAATAAGAAAAACAGGTTTGTTAATTAGTACTTTAAGTTTGAGCTTGGAGGGAGGGTGTGTGTGTGTGTGTGTGTGTGTGTGT